AGATGGCGTGCAGTTCAAGCTGTAGCTGATATGATATGGCGCCGTTGGCTTCGAGAGTATTTTCCAAGTCTGACAACACGTACAAAATGGAATAAGGAGAGGCGAAACTTAAAGAAAGGGGATCTGGTCATAGTGTCGAGTGACAGCCCTCGAGCCGAGTGGCGCGTCCCTTGCCCGTGTTGTTAAGGTTTTCGAAGGAAGGGATAGAAGAGTCAGGTCAGCCGAAGTCAAGACGTCGAGTGGTACCCTACTACGCCCAGTATCGAAGCTATGTTTTTTGGAATGTTATTAAGATGTTTGTTTGCTTTTTTTCATTGTGTTCTAGATGTAATAGAGACTGAAATTACCCTTTTAATGTCATTTCTGGGGGGAGGATGGACGGACACATATATACATAATATCGTTGACATTATTGGGAACCCTGTGTCACTAGGGCCACATGGGTCACATGCACATATTGTAACGGGGTTTTTGCAGCTACGTGAAGCCTTCACAACTAATTTTGTAAACCTCAATAAATCAAAGCTTTCCATGAGTCACCTCACTTAATGCCAAAGCAAAAGGTTGATTTTATAATTAAGCTTATTGTTAACTCAATACTGTGATATAGTTTTAGAGCAAAAACATGGTGAAAATCATTCTCCTTTTGGGATTGACGGCGGTGTTTTGGGGAAGTGCACTTGCTGGCTGTACAAATCTTTGTAAGTATAGTAATTATTAAAGTTAGCTGCAATTGCCTTGTTTAATTCTCTTTAGCCCTGTAGTTCTGCCCAAACTTTAGTTAGCCACAAAATCTCATTGTTTTATTAACTAATAGAATTGTCCCTGCGTATACTGTATTTGTTTTTAGATAAACATGTTTTAGATAGTCAGTTTTTAAATAATTGAACTTAAGTATATCGAAAAAAATAAATAAACAATTAGCCAACAAATAATTATAATGGTGGAAACTAGCGGTAAACGTAGTCACATAAGCTGCGTCGGTGTTTCTAAAAAATCATGGACTGCGGAAGCTAAAACATTATTGGGGGGGGGGGGGGGGCACTGAATCATTGGTGGGATAAATAGTGAATAGTTAGGTTATCAATTTAATGAGTGCATAAAGAATTAAATCAATCCTGTTTGAAAGTTTAAAATTATTGGGGGTCCGGGGGGTCCGTCGTCCATTAAGTTATATATCATTGTCGTTTTGTAGATGGCTTGAAAATGGACCACCTGACCATGAAAGACATGAACGGAAATGTGATAGAAAAGATTAGCAAAAATGGCGGCAAGTACCACATCACGGGGGCTCTTACCATAGAACAATCAATGGTTGGTGTCAGTGCATTTCGAATAAAATCTGAACTGCGTTTTAAGGGAACATATAAATGGTTCATTTTCAAGAGTAATATCGATGCATTGATCCCTTGCCAGCTACAGGCTCCACTAAGCTGGTAAGTTGGATAATAATGATTTAATATATAAAATATGAGAATGATATCAACATAATTGAAGCATATATTTTTCTTGAAACTTTAAGATAATATTTGTAAGAAAAAATCAGGACAAATCTCTTGCTCATTTAAAGTTTCGGTTGATTTTTGAATTGTGTCTAACTAATGAATTTGATGATTAATCTTTTAAATCGTCCGAATAGCGCGTATGAAAACATCATATCATTCCTTTTAAACATTTTCATCATCATCATTATTATTCTCATCATTATTATCATTCATTCTACAGTGATATGTCTGGCCAAACTTGTGAGAACATTCAGAGTCTCCTGAATCTTTCTACCAACATCTGCCCACTGCAAGCCGGGTCCATCACTTTTGACCAGGAAGTTGATGTTCCAGATTTTTCCAGTCAACTGCCAGAATTGCCGGCAGGCGCTGTTGTAGTAAGTTGGCTTGATTTTTCTGTTATTTGTTAGCGCACGCWATGTATTTAGTGCTAACTCGAG